TGATCTATTCTGCTTTGCTTTGGGGAATGTGATAAAGAGCAAGAAACAGCTGGTTTAAGAAAGCCTTAGAAACATCTTTTAGTTTATAAAGACAATAATAATATTTTCATATTTGAATGGGTTGAGATACATGTTAAACCACAGTAAAGGGAAAAAGTAAGTCAATTCAAAATGTTTTCTCAAGTCAATAAAAGAACGCTGCAAAAAATCCCCGCAGTCTTGGGATTTCAGAGGAAACAAGTACATACTGTACACACGCAATTAAAAAACCCTCCTCCAAATCTCATCCACTTAAACTATCCCCTTTACTCAAATATGTTTACATTATATCACAAAGCTGTGTTCATATGTAAAAAATGACTATTCACAAATTCATTTTTCATATCAACTCTTTTTTCTAGTCTGTGTTTCTAGTAAAAAGAAAATCTTAACCAGTTTTAATTATTTTCTCCTGTGTGGTATTATTTATGAGTAGTGTTTGGACAGGGAAAAAAGCATAGTTTAAAAATGACAGTCTTAAACATATAAATAATTTACTATTGAGAATACCAAGGATGTTATTTAATATAATAGACTGTATTAAGACAGTATTTCTAAAAGAACCATCTTCTCTGGTTATTTTGTTGATACAGTTAGCTAATTAGTTAGTGATAGCACACATTTGGTGACTGCCTTAGACAACACAGGTCAAATTCTGGTTTTGGTTATGTCCAGCTTACTCTACTGACCACAGTGAGGAAGTATTAGGTTAGTTAAGAATTTGGTTGTTAACAGCATGTTGGAAGTGATTCAAAGATCACAGAATTCTATCGAATAGCTCCCTTTGATTTCAATGAGCTTTAAACCCTGTGGAAAAACCATCAGTTTCTAGGGTAACAAAACCAGGAAAAAACCACTTTACTCATCAGCTTTTAGAGTCTACAGACAGCATCCTTTATTTCTCGCATTTTGTCAAGCAATCTGTCATTTAGAATAGCCTTTTGGATGGCCAATTGCTTATTTATATTATTTGAATGAACATGCTAATATTTCACCAAAGGTAATAGTTTCAGGTGCCTTTGACAACAAACAATCCTGTGTTTCATGGAGAGTTTAATAGGAGGGCGGCAAGAGAGCGCTCAAAATATTTACCTGACTACATAAGATCCGCTGTGAAGACCCCGATATATTCTGTCTTTGCTTGGGCAAAACCCCCTGGATATCAATGGGGATTTTACCTGGTGAGCTGGATCTGTAACCACTCAGACAATATCAACATTTCAAAACAGACATCCTTTAGCCCCATATTTTGTTATAGGTTTTACCTGGTATGTGACCTCTGCAAGTATAATAGAACTCTTTACAATAGTCTTTGCACAGGTAGGGAAGAGTTAGTTCTCTTTCAGGTGTTTCCCCTTTCCCAGGTGAGTGGAATAGGTTCTGAGCGTGAGGTGAGCAGTGTGCACATTTGATTTCCTCCAGTAGCTTCGCACATTCTGTGTTGTTGGTAACAGAAAGTATCTGCAAGCCACAAACCAGAGACAAATAAACATATTACCTGTTTCCTCATCTTATGCAAAAAAAGATTGCGTGATCTAATATAATAAATAGTGCTAGCGGAACCAATACAGTTAGTATTAATGCATCATGTTTCATGTCACCGTTCCGGAAAATTATTGCTATGAAATGTGCAATATGTCATTAGTACAGTGAGATTTTAAGCGCTTGCTTCTCTTTCTCAGATAAGGATAATAGTACTCAGGTTATTTTATGGACTCATGCCCACAATCTCTTAATCACATAGGCAATCTCTGACCTAGAGGGATCATTTATATAAGGAGGAGCTACAGCAGCAGGTCTTCTACCCACTTCTCTCATGAGAAATATTTAAAGAACACAACTTGTAAGGTGACCTATTCAAGTATTTAGAGACTAAAAATTAAAATTGTACCATCAAAACACATCAGGAAAACCGTATCTAGCTATTTGTTAAATAGGTGTATCTTGAACAATACCGCAGTCCGGCTACTGAAACGACTGCTGTGGAGCTCAGCAGGTGCCTTGGATTTTTCATGCTTCAAATGCCTCTCTGCTTTTTGCTCTCTCCAATGCAAACTACTTAGAGGAGGGAAAAGCTCTACGTTTCTAGACATTTCTTTTTATAAGTGAAAAAGTAGAATTTGTTCATAATATCTTTCTTGTCTCAATATTGCAACTGTAACTTTGTCCTGAAAAAAAGAGCCTATATTGCGCATAGTACTCGAAGAAGCACGAAACCACGATTGATGATGTGTTTAAGTAAACACAGGAGCCTAAGGAGCGCAATGTCATCAAATCGTGAAAAATAATGGAAAACAGCATAGTCGTCTTCATTAGTCTTTGAATGCAGTGCACTTTGTTAATCTATTGTTAACCACATGGATTGTTTTTTGATCATTCAGCCCAATAGTGGGTAGTGGGAAATGTGTTCTCAGTTGAGAGGGACTGAATCTGTTCCAATGAAAAAACAAAGCTCAGGTTCTTTCTGCTATTTGTTTAATGTAGTTATAAACAAAGACTGTAGGACACTTATATTAATAAATATTAATGCAGTAAGTATTTGTATTCTGTAAATATTTGTAAATAGTGCATTTTAACATATTGACACAGTTTGTCTATAATTCATATATCTGAGTTGATTTAGAGAAGGACTTTCCAATGTCATTCCCGTACAACATAACATTCAAGGGAATGATCTAAATTACTTTTGATAAAGTTAATCAATGCATGAAGACTCTTGATAAGTTTAAGTATCCTGCCTCATAGGTTGGCTGTCTCCTAGGACGCACTACTTTGATAACACAGTTCTGATCCCAGCATTTTATTTACGCATCATAATTATATAAACCTCAAACACTTAAGAGAAATGCACCTTCTATTGTTTTAAACAGATACATATTCAAAATATTGCACAATATATGGCCTATACAGTTACACAAAATCCTATTTAAAGGAACCTTAATGTAGAAGACAAACTCTTCAGTCTTACCATATATATATTGTCAAAAGACCATCTGAAGTGTGTACTAAAGTTTAGTGGCTTAAGTTGGACCACTGATTAGAGGAACACCATTTGGCTTCTACCCTTACTCTGGAAGAGCTGCCATTGGCTTCAAAAAGAATTCCTCCAGATTTGCAAGTATCATTAAATGCATTAAATGTTCTGTTCTTTAGACTATCTGTTACAGATTGTCCTCGGCTTCCATAGCACCTGCGACTAACATCTGCCATGTATGCTGTATTATCTCTCTTCAGACCCTTCTTGGGAATATAATTATCTCACATCTTCTTTTGGAAAGGGTTTGTCTTTTTTGTTTTTTTTTTTTTTTTTAACCTTGAAGACAATAATGAATTAATTGCATGTTGCATGTATGACATAAGGTTTGCATTGGCCCTGAATTCTTTGGGGAATTCTTTCCACAGCCCCAGCCACTTCTCTCCTGAAAAAGTTTAGATTCATTTTGCTAGATTGCTCATTTGGGCCATAGCAGCAGAACTGTTAACCTTAGTCTTCTTTCTTGAGTTTCAGATGTTGTTGTAGATATGGTAGAACTGGGGAAAAATGCCTTGAAGACAAGAACTAAAAATATAAATGTTAACTACAATAAACTATAACTGAAATACATAATAACTAAAACGTTGAGCTTGACTTAATACTGCCTAGGATTGCCATCCAGGTAGTAGAGAACAGACTTTATATGCTTGCAGTAATCCACACTGCTGAGGCAATCTTCTGCATTAGCTGGACTTCCGTAAGGGATGACGGCATCCTGACCTCGGTACTTTGCGTTGCTGTGGTTCTGGTGGGAAGTGGCCTGTATAATTCAATCAAGTAATTGTCTGCCAAATAGAACAAAGTCTGAAGCCATTCAGGGATGATCAAAAGCACTACCCATAAATGCTGCTTTTTGAGAACATTATGTCACCAAGAAGCTAGGAGATCTCCTAAGTAAGGATGAAATGATCTATTTTGGTGTTTCCACCAAAGGAAAGTGCACCATGACTACAGACTCTTCAAAGTACTTGCCTACATTCAGTAGTATCACCTGCTTTGCAAAAGTCTCAGATGTTTTCATCAGGGAGTTGATCTCAGGCAGTAGGCTTTCTTGTGGTAGCACTGTGATGGTATGTTTAGAAGTACAAGTAAACATGAGGTATTACTAGGTAAATATTCTATGTGTTTATTGAATTAACTCCACAGTGATGCAACAGAAAACTGTACTTCTACTGGAAGACTCCAGAACGCATTGTGAACAGGGGAAAAAAAAAATAAAAAAATTACAGGATAGCAAAGCTAATTTACTGTTTCTTGTGGAAAACGTAATTGACGTTGCCTGGTGATACAGGAGAAGTAATGCTTGCCAACATTTCAGTTCTCAAACTTAAGACAAAAGGATCCTAATCCCCCTGAGCAGCTGCTATCCAGGAATTAACCACAGGAATTCACCCCCTCATGTCATTTCTGGAATGAATCTTGGTCATATAATAGCTAATCGGAAGATTAAGGAATGAGAGTCAATCAATTATCTGAAAATCAAGTACAATGTTATTTAACTTTTAGAATACTCAAGCAAAATAGGGTGGTAACATTTGCTCTGTGTGAGGTCTGATGTGTAACTCTGTCCTGGCTGGGAGATAGGACAACCATTCTATTCTGAATTTCAGTAAATCGATAATGTATTTATCCTGGAGTACATTAAACTGGTTTTAAGCGAAAGCTGAAATACTTATTTGAATGAAGCTTTTTCTGTTGGATGTCTACTTTGAAAATGACCTTAAAGTTGACAATGGCTTTGGTCTTTTGAAGAAATGTAAACTAATTTCCTGCTTCAATTTTTAAAGCCGTATGTGAAACCATGAAACTGCAGTGGTTTAAACTAACTGTGCTCTGGAAAATATGTAAAACTTCCAAACATTTATTGCAACATGCCTAATAATGATTATGCCTGCTGCTGACTAATTTACAACATCTGTAAGATCATCCTTTAATCTCTAGCCACATGAAAGTAAAACGGGTAGACTAAAGGTAAGATAAATCCTGGAATGCACAGGAAAGCATAGCATACTAAATTGGTTTATCAACAAAAAGAATAGTGCAATGAAGGAGAAACAGAAGATGACACAACAGACAGAAATTTACGTTGAATATTGTCATCTGTTTTGCGTACTCTGTCATACCTAGTTTGAGAAAGGCAGTATAATTTTGATGTTAACAGAAAAAAAAAACAGAGAAAGAAGTAATTGCATTAAGCCGTATTTGATACACAAGCATTTATGTCTAAAAATCATATGCTTACGAGATTGTTCAGCTGTTGGGTTGAACATATGCTTCTTCTGTATTATAGTGCTGGATTATGTCATTAAAGAGTTCGGTTTCAATTTTAGGGTAATATGTAAATAGATCATTGTACTAAGGCAGCTGTTAAAGGGACCCCAAGATGAGTTATTTGTTTAGTTGGATGTGTTCAACAATAGCCTTTGTTCGTGAAAGAGCCAGAGCAAACAAATGATTGTAAAAGGGCACACTTGAAAACAATTACTTTTCATCCATTCCTTGACAGCCTTGGCTGTGAAACCATCCAAGGTAGAGAGGACTTCTTTGCCTGTCAGGCTGTAAGCAAACTTTTAGAAAAACTGATACTACAGTGTTTGGCTGGGATGTAGTAGCCCTTCATAAATGTGGAGATACTGCAGAAAACTAGAAGACAAAGAGTTAAATGTCAAGAACAGGATGCAAAATTCTTGCTTGAGCCAGTGCAATGTTGTATCTGCTCATTATGGTAGCTCCATTTTTGTCCCCCAAACCGGAGGCAATGGTAGTGTTCTCATTATAAGCACAAATCAATAATTTGGTCAAAAATTCTCAAAGACTCAGCATCTTAACCAAGAAGCTCTTATGAAAATATCTACTGAGCATGCTCAATTCTTTTTTTTTTTTTTTTTTTTTGAAGAAGCTAGTGTTCAGACTTCTGTTAATGTGATAGCCACTCTATGGTGTAGATATATGATGGAGTTTCAAAAAGCTGGTTTTGGAACTGTAGTAGAACACAGTTTAAAAAATGTGCTTTCAGAAAAGTTACATTCAAATGTACGCCATCATAGTTTGCCATGTCTTTTATGGAATGACCACCTCATTCTGTCAGGCGTAAATGACATATTTTGACATTTTTTCTAAATATCTATTGATATGGTAAAGCAGATTTGTGAGTTTCATAAATGTTAATCTTTGGTGAAAACCAGTGATTTTAAAACTCTATAAAATAATATTCCCTTAAAAGTATAATTTATATTTAAAAAAACACGTTCAACAGCTTAGAAATATGTACTGTGGCATATATGGTCAATTCCTCACATTTATATCAGGTTTTTAGTACCATTAGTTAAAAAAAAAAAAAACAAAGAACAAAAAAAAAAACCAAACCCACAAAACAAAAGAAAGGGAATTAAAAGATATTTTCAAAGAATAGTAAGAAGAGAATAAACCCTTCAACTGCCTGGAGATTGAAAACTAACCAAAATTCAACTTCCAATTTACTGCATTCAGCCAGTTACTACAAGGGTCTCCAATCATTGAATAATCTCAGTAGCATATATGCCACCAAGACATTGCAAACAGGGTGAATCAAGGACATATTTTCCAGTCCTATTCTTTTTTTTTTTCTTTTTTTCTTTTTTCCCAGCTAGATCTTTCAGGTTATCTGTGTGTGGTTAGTTTATAGTTTAATTTAATTATCACACAGGAGCTTAATGACACTGTCTCTAGACAACATGAAGAAATATATCTGCCTTGAATCTCAAACTGCTGCTGCATATGGTATGAATAAAGAGAGATCTGCAGCTGAAAACCTGCAGTAAGACAGTTCTCACTCATCTGGGAATAGAGGGGGTAGGACAAATGCTCCCTCAAAAGGCATGAACATTTGGACAGAGCTGGGGACTGAAGGAGAATGATGTTCTCCAGTTTCACCCATTAGTGAACCAACTAACAAACACAATGGTGTTGTTGTTATTCTTTTGCCATAAGCAACAGGACTCTGTGTGTGGGCAGCAGTTTAGTGGGGAGGAGGATAAGTCGACCCCTTTTTGTCCTATTGATTTTTTCCTATTTGCATGACTTGAGCAAATTAAATGATGCAATATGGCTTTTTGTTACAAAACAAAGTGAGAGATACCACCCAGACACATATGTTGATTCGTAGAAGCTGTTTACATGAGAATGGAGTGAAATCTACCGTGAACTGAGCATAAAAATTCGATTCAGGCTGGGTATTTTTTTTTTTATTATGCTTGGGCCAGCAAGACTGAAACACAAGTTTTCCAAGAGTCTCTCAGACCTTGACAACTACAGAGTTGTAACTGAGGAATTCTTAATTAAACCTAAACCAGGGTGGAAAAAAAAAAAAAGAAAAAATAAAAAGACACCTGATTGTTTATTTCACGTGCAGTGATTCCTAATGACATTATTCAGCAACTTCCCTCCCTCCGCGTACCCCTGGATGCGACACCGGCCACCACAAGCAGAGCTTACCAAACGCGGTCCTGCAGGGTTAGGTACCAGCGCGTTTGAAAATCTAAGCAACAGGCTGCTGAGCAGAGTTTAACTTGCTAAAGGATGCAGAGAACTGACAATTTTAAGAACTCGGTGAGCAGAGGAGGTGCTGCCCTTCACATGACCGCAGCTTGAAAGTGGGCAGAGAGGCTGCCAGGTGATGTGAAAAGGAGGGCTATCTCATGGCATCTGGTGTGAGAAACCGGTCGTGAGCGAGGACTGGTGGAGCAGGGTCCTAAGGCGGAAACTTCGGGGGTCGTCTGCGGCTGGTAGGCGTAACCATTAGCAATACTTGGGCTCACAAAATTTTGGTACCCCGGCACCATCTGCTACCCAAAACCCCTTCCCGACTAAACATGTGGAACAAATCGGTCAAGATTTTTCACCCCAGAAAAATAAACCGGGCAC